TAAATAACATAGTTATGTATAATATATTACATTTCTGACTGTATATCCCTGTAATTATTACACTATTAAGCTTTAAGCTGCTGACTGCCACTACTTCGACGCCAGAGTGTTTGCCAGTTTTGGGTACTCTAGCCAAGCTGAGTTTTTGTCTACATGAGTTTTAACGTTGCTGTTTTTGTCTTTGTCTCTCGGCAGGAAGTCATCCTGCAAACTGGATGTTTTGGACCTTCTCTCCCCTGGAAGGACTCTCTGAGCACCAATCTGAGCTGAGGATTCAAGATTATGGTTTGGATCAACCTTTCCCCCCAAAGATTGTTTGGGCGTCTCTCTGAGCAGGGGATTCATCTCCACAATAACCCGTTCAAGTACCGCAGGAAATCTAAGTGGCAGTAAGCTCCTCCGTTCATCAAGGAAAAACCCCAATCTGGGTAAACCCTGTCCGCCCTCAAACGAGCAAGACATTCACTGGAGCAACTCACACCGACTGGATTCAACAAGAGACCCCTTTTTTCTGGAAACGTGAGTCGGCAACCTTAATCCCCTTCTTCAAATCAGACACTAATTTCCCACTGAGCCTGAACTAACCGCAGTATCTTCCCCTTCACTTTCCAGTTCCGGTTCGACAGTGTTCAGAGCAGCACTGGACTCATCTCATTCCCTCTCAATAAAACCTGTTAAACTTTTCCCTGGTCGCTCTGTTTGTTTTTCTGCATGTGGGTCAGAGCTTTGGATAAAATCATGACACATCAGAAATGAAGCAGCAGAAGCTTCTTTGATGGCGTCCGGTGTGAACGTAGCATTAGACTTTCTGGTTGTTTGAATTAACCTTCGAAACATAATATTGTAGCTAAAAATGATCTTATTGTCGGGGTTCGTGTGTGTGATTGAGGGCGAGTGATGCATCTCTTCCAGAGAGGATCTTTTGGTAGAACCTGGGCAGCCTATACAGGTGAAGATAATCTTTCTCATCAGAGTGTTGGGCTTTAAAGAGCAGCAGAGCGTTCAGTCAGGGCTGCTTTCTTGTGTTGTAGATGTTCCGTTGCTTTATAGTCTCTTGTTCCCCTCAAGTATTTTCTAGTGTTGCGCCGATGCCATTTTTTGGCCCCGATACCGATACCCGATACCTGGCTGTGCAGTATC